TGGACCTCAGATGTTAGTCCAATGCCTCTCCTAAGTCTCACTGTACACTGTGTGAACTTGGAAACATATGTGCCACAGAGTGCAGTGATTCAGGTGAAAAAGTGTAGCACGTCACACACCAGCAGTTTAATTGCCGCCTCCATTACAGATATGATAATGACTGGAAGACCATTAAAATGAAAGATGTTTTATGTACAGATGGTTACAAAAACCCAGTGCCAGTATGGCACGAGTTCCTATACAGTCAATATCTACTGGACCAAATCACAATGCAGATTTTCGTGCCTCATTTCATTGCCATTTAAATGTCTGTTGATTGAAATATTTGCCCTCTGGTGCTGTGAATTCGGATAATACAGGCAACATAAGCATCACTGCACATCCCGTGCCAACGCCATCATTACACTTATACTGCATCCAATTTACCTCAGCGCTTGAAAACCTGAGCTGGCAATGAATGGGAATGTTTTTTAATATGTCGCCAATCTTCGTTTTATACAGGGTACAGATTTCGTGACGGCCGTGGCCATTGTTGCCCTGGCATCTGGCCAGAATGCCCTCTATATCTGTTACACAGCCACAGTGGTTGGTGTGTCCTCATCAGATTTGAGGAGCAATCTCTGTAAATGATGGTTCATGTTTAGACACTCATGTAAGTGTGTGTTTACAGATGTATTAGGGAGAACAATGCTTAATAAAGCTGTTCACCCAGGAGCCTCATAAGCCTTGATGTAGAATTTGAGGCTATTCACTAACACTGCTGTAAGAAAACTCAGAGGCTGAAAAACACTACATCCATCCATCCATCCATTACCTATACCGCTTATCCTGATAGGGTTGCTAGAGGGGTGGAGCCAATCCCAGCTGACATTGGGCGAGAGGTGGAGTACACCCTAGACAGTTCACCAGTCTATCAGTCTAAAGGACTCACACTCACTCCTAGGGGCAATTTAAAAATCGCTAATCAGCCTGTCTTTGGACTGTGTGAGGAAGCCAGAGTACCTGGAGATTTTTCTTAGCTTCCTTCAGATGGATGCAATACGCTTCAACAGAGATGGGCAAATAAACCAAACACACATATGCAGCACAATGTCATGACCATTTTTGCTTGTGAAATAAGACAACGATGTTTTTAAACACTTCTAATAAAGTACAAATCTCACCTTTATATGTCTTGTCCTAGGGGGTTTTGTCTTTTTCTCCTCATTCTGGGCAACAGTTTACTAAACAGTGTGGTCAGTATTGGGCAAATTATTGCTTGGCACACCAAAATGACAAAAAGACAACAACAAACTGACAGGGCCTAGGGCTACCTTCTACTGTAATGCACAGGGCTGACAGCCACAAGTTCCTGGGCTTGCAGGTGACACCTGACCTGAGCTGGTCACTGAACACAGCTGCCACAGTGAAGAAAGCCCAGTAGTGACTATACTTCATCAGGCAGCTCAGGTAAGCTGGTATGAACTGCCATCCTCTCACCCAGGCTTACAGAGGTCTGGTAGAGAGCATCCTCACCACTGGCATCACTGTCTGGTATGGTAACACCACAAAGGCAGAGAGGAAGGCTCTTCAAAGAGTTATAAAGACTGCAGAGGATCACTGGGACTAAACTCCCTGCTATGGACACACTATACACACAGCGCTGTCGTAAAAGAGCAGAGAACATAATCAGAGACTCACTCCACTCAGCTCACTCTCTGCTCAGTCACAAAAACTGCACCCACAGCCTCAGGCACAGCAGGGCAGACAGAATCATCACACACAGAACTAGACTTTACAAAAGCTTTTTTCCTGCCACAGTAACAGTACGACTGATGACAAATACAAAAATGTGAGAAACATGTGCAATAACCCCTTACTACCTCACTAAGTGAAATACCATATCCAACTCCACTATGTGAAATACTGTGTGCAATATTTGAAGCTCACCATCTCATCCATTATCTAATTTTTTTTGTATTGCGTTTTTATACTATGTCACTGTTATGTAACTTTACTTTCAGACCAGATGTTCTCTTCTGCCTTTTAACTCTTTACCCAACTCCAAGAGAGCTGCACAGTAATTCCTATATGCCTAGACTGTCTGTTTATGCATAAATGGCAAATAAAAATCTTGAGTCAGTGCTGACAAAAAGTAAAAACAAAAAAGGTATGACTATAAAGGTTTCAGTCGACTGAGGGTCTCTCAATTAATGATTCAACGGACTGATTTTCAGGGGGCAGCCCTACACTCAGTAGCCACTTAATTAGGAGGTCTCCTGCCGCATCGTTACTTTGCTCATCATCACAAGCAGCAACTATTTATAGTCCGTTAGCAATTTTTGCGCACTTAGCATCAGCCAACTAGTCCATTTTCTCTCCTTTTCTGCACCCCTAGTCGCAGGTTTTCATTTGATTTACTTTGCAGTGTGCTGGCAAGAGCTCTTGCAGCTCTTAAGGCTTACACAAACAGCATTGCTGCAGCTGTTGAATTACTGTTATTTGTAAAGGCTATGAAAGGCAACAGCTAAGCGGTCTGGCTAAGATTATGTTGAGAGAGCTTCACGCACAGCATCTAAACTGAACAAACCCACTGCCCACATGGGGGGGGGAACACTTCTATTTTAATTTGGAAAATGATTTCGCATATTATAGCATTGTTAAGCATTTTACTCTGATAACTGAAGAAAAACGGGCGGGTGGCCCATTTAACAAAGATGACTGAATATTTATTATATTGTGGAGGTATGATTATTGGTTCAGATATGAATTAAAATTTAAACCTGTGTCAAGACCAATATAAAATCTGGCTTCAGTTCACTGCTTCATTATCTGTGTCACCAATTTCCCTCATATCCAAAATGTTCATACATACAAGTCAGAGTTTCCATACAGGTACATACAGTCACATTTTTATAAACACGTGGAGTGTTTCTGCTGGTAACATTTGTCCATGACGCCCCACCACGGCAAAATCTGCTACCACAGCAAAGAAAAACAATTAATCTAACTGATCAATCATTTAATCAATCAGTGACTAGTGTGGGAAGTCCATGAGACAACACATACACAGATGCAATTAAGGACAATTTAGACAGAGCCCATTTTTAGATGCATTTTTGGTGCAACAGAGAGAATTTTGTCAAATATGTCTGACACACAAGTACAACTATTTTTGTACAGTATACTGCTGCTGTCAGTTAGCCTGGGGAAGACCACTTGTCTGTCCACTGTACTTCCAGCTCATGGAGCTGATGACTAACAGCTGTTCTGATGCTAAATTCACAGTTTAAATCTTTCTTTCAGTTAGTGAAGCACCAGAGATTGGCGAAGTGTCGAGGACTTTTTTGAGGACTAAACGATTATACCTGAAAAATAACTGGCCTATATTAATCCTTACATTTATTAAGTGTTTGTTCACCTACACAGAGAGAGGGAGAACATGGATTAGGGATGGAAGATAGAGCTCAGAGACAGTCAGATGAGGAGAAAGGAGGCAAGTATTCAGGCAGAGCTGCACCCCTGGTGGGGGACACGACCCCACAACAAACCTCTTGATCCAAAGGAAACAGTGAAAACGCATTTCAATATAGTGAAATCCTGTTCGACACAATCGCTGATTGTGACTTTCTTAATACACATACAGTTTAATAAACACCTATCGGTAGGGTATAACAAAAACTGGCCATTTTAAGCTTTGTAAATGCAGAATAAGTAGCAGAGCTGCTGTACTGAATTGCCCTTTGATTGCAATGGTGTACCAAAAGAAGTGGACAAAGGGTCTATATGGTGAGTTGAGGTGAGTCTGAGAGGACTATAAACTTGCGACACCTGTTAAACTGAGAACTTCACATGTACTTCAAGTGCAGTCAGTTTAAAATAGGGATATTCTTTCGAAAATCCCCAGCTATTGCTTCAATTGACTTTCACTATTAAACAAAAGCACTTCTTTCACATTATGCAGCCCACTTTTGAAATGTATACAATGGAAGACTTTTAAGAGACAGTGAATGTGGTTTTCTTATAATCTGGGACAAAAACTGGTTAATTCAGAATGTATTCTGGTTCTTTGTAATTGTTTAAAACATATAATTGTTTTAGGTATAAAGCATAGGCATATCTAGTGAAAACACAAGGGACCTCTGAGTCAATTCTTCTCACAGACTATAAACACTAAAACAGTGGAAAACTATATCTAACCACAGTTCTACACGATCATGAATTTACTTATGTAAATGACTTATGTGACCAACTACTCAATTGTCAATGATTATTCAAATTAAATGAAGTTCATTTGATATTAAAATACTCCACACCCACCACTAATGTTTAAAGTTTGCCTTACAAACGTTTCACGTGACTGATAATTTCTTCTATTAATGCTCCTTTTTCTGACAGAATTAGGGTGATTTAACGAACATAAAGAGGATTTATTTAATTATTCTGCATCATTACGTGCCAAGACAGCTGAGTTAGTAGTTACCTTAAGCTTATGGCTTTGCTAACGTTAGCGTGCTTTATAGCAACAACAATAGCTAGTCACCAAATTGGGCAATATATTAGAGATACGTGATTTAATCAAACACGTTTTACTGGATTGTTTGTTCACAAACAAATGTAGCATTTGTGTGTCTCTTGGGTTACTCAAATGGTAATTCGCGTAGGTTTAGCTAGCTTGCTGCCTAGCAAACAAAGACCTCAAAATAGGAGAGGTGGATGTCAGCGTGCTAACAAACGTTAGCATGTTGCGTAGCTTTTTATGTCAGCAGCCTGAAATAGTGCAGTAAATGTAAGATGTGCTCCCTAAGAAATATTTACACCAAACATTAACGCGCCTGTAAGCTAGGTCAGCAACGCTATATTAATAGCTAACGTTAGCTGGCATTAGAGCAGAGTCGAGGCTGTGGTCGTGAGGAGAATGTTCAAATACAACAACACACCTGGAACCATAGTTTCACGTTAATTCATACATAATATGTATGCAGCTAGTTACATAAACCGTTACAAAATATACAGTTTACCATGCGAGCCGCCTCAGCCCAGGTCCGCTCCTTCTTTCTCTTTTGTTTGTCCTTCATTTCCTCTGCGCTGGTTGTCTGTGGCTAGCTTGCTGTGTATGTACAAATCAACCTCGATACGATGGCTGTTTAGCAAAACGACTAACTATGTTCTAGGTTAACAATGTAGACCCTAAAACAAAACGCTCGTTTTAGCTCAGGACGATGTTATGGTCTCTTTTAGTCACTGACAGGCCTAACTGGCGCTACTCTGGCTAAACCATATACAGTCAATGAGCTAAACTAGCTCAACACACATTGCCTCCCTGAAGCACAGAAGCAGTGTGAGCACGGTGCTATCTGTGGTGCTGCTACAGGACAAGCCTTTCTGGAATGCAACAATCAGGTCAAAGGTTAAACCCTCCGCTGGGATGCAACAAAACAAGGTCCTGCTCTGTGCAAGCAAACATGCTGCATGCAAATAATCATATTTGATATCAAAATAGCACTGTTTTGATTCAGCCTTGTGGGTGTCACCACACACAGATATACTGTATGTTAACTACAGTAACAGTTGAGACAATCTATAGAACAGCATCAAAGCATCAAAATTCATATTATAAAACCTGATTCCCAGCAACATAGCAAAATTTGATATTTGGCAAAAGAATGATATTCCATATGAATATTATAGGTCAAACACCCAGGTCTTTGTAATCATGCCAGACAAAGATAAACATTTCCAGGAGGATGCTTCAGGGCAGTGCACTGCACAGTCCTTTCGATGAAGGATGCTACTAACTGCAACATTATGTTATGCATATATCACCGGCCACTTTACACCTGTACAATTGTATTCAGTTTTTGGTGAAATTGTCAAATATACATATTCAAATACAGTGGGGCAAATAAGTATTTGATACACCACCGATTTTTCAAGTTTTCCCACTTACAGAGAATGGGCAGTTCTGTAATTTTCTTCGTAGGTACACCTGAACTGTGAGAGAATCTACAAAAAAAATTCCAGAAAATCACATTGTTAGATTTTTAAATAATTTATTTCCATTTTATTGCATGAAATAAGTATTTGATACTGGAAATAGTCACTTTCTGCTTAAACAGCAGCATCTTTACTCTATATCTTCACTTTGTGATATTGATCACCAGCAGAGCATTGTTTTACTAACCTGGAGCGATAGAGTGTTCTTACCCAGAGGTGGAGGAACATATAGGTCATTCATGATAGTGACACATTTAGATTTCCCTCTCCCTCCTTTCTCTTTTTTTTCTGCCCCCCTCTTCCTTCCTGTCGACAACTTGCAGTGATATTTTATTCTCATTTTTCAAAACTCAGTAAAATGCATTTATTATTAAGGCTTATAGATGAACATTCTTATGGTAATTGTGATGGATGCTCCTTAACCTGTTGGCCGCTGGTGTAGCTTGTGTTTGATCATCAATTTCTTCCTCCAAACACGGCGAGTGGAGATTACACCAAAAAGTTCCATTTTGGTCTCATCTGACCCAATGACCTTCTCCCATGCCTCCTCTGGATCATCCAAATTGTCTTTGGCAAACTTCAGATGGGCCTGGACATGTGCTGGCTTGAGCAGAGGGACTTTGCATGCACTGCAGGATTTTAAGCCATGACGGTGTAGTGTGTTACTAATGGTAACCACTGAGACTGTGGTCCCAGCTCCCTTCAGGTCATTGACCAGGTCCTCCTGTGTAGTTCTAGGCTGATCCCTCACCTTCCTCAGGATCACTGATACTCCATGAGGCGAGATCTTGCATGGAGCCCCAGTCTGAGGGAAATTGACAGTCATCTTGAATTCCTTCCATTTTCTCATAATTGCGCCAACAGTTGTTGCCTTCTCACCAAGCTGATTGCCTATTGTCCTATAGCCCATACCAGCCTTGTGCAGGTCTACAATTTTGTCCCTAGTGCTCTTAGACAGCTCTTTGGTCTTGCCCATAGTGGAGAAGTTGGAGTCTGAT